GCCGGATGCTGCCCGGAGGTCAAGTGAGACGGCGGCCTCTGGTCAGCCAGTCACCGGTGGTCTTGGCAGGGGGGCAGGCTCAGCCCCGGGGGTGGAGACAGGAGCCGGGTTGCAGGGTTCAGAGAGCAGAGGGACAGTCCAGAGAGCTCCCTGCTGGGGGAGGGCTGACTGGAAATGGAGCTCGGCCAACAGCGCGATGAACCAGCCTCGGCCAAGCAGCTCCTGGGTGCCGGTCACCACGCTGGCTCTCTTTTATCTACCATCCAAACAAGAAGCGGAAGTTGTGGAGAAAGTGAGGACGCAAAGTGAAAGGATGCATAGACTCTGTCCTGGGAGAGGTAGAGTCTCGTGGGGATGCTGGCGGGTAACGCGTTCCGTCGCCAGGCGGCATTGCCACCCGCCGTGACGCGGCCACACTCGCTGCCCCGGAACCCCAGCTCTGCCACCGGCTCAGCCCCGTCTGCTTTATTGACCTCATCTGGGAACCAGGGCCTGTGGGCATTGAGTGAGCTCTCGGAGGGGACTGCCCGGTGCATCGTCCAGATGGAAGCCACCACGGAAAGGAGGACACGCGGGGTGAGGGGCAGGACCGACTCCCACGGTGACCAGACATTCGTCTCCTCGTTCAGTGCGAATGATTGAAAAAATAAAGTCAAAGCAGAAATGGGGCATCGTGCCAGGATTTAATGAAGTCTTATTTGGGAACTATCGGAGAGTTTTATTTTTATCGCTAATTAGAGGGTGCCCATTATCATTTTCCAATAAGAAATTTTAAATTTGTGGAGAAAGTTAATGTGTCACTCACTTTTCATGTTCCTTAAGTTTTTTTTTTTTTTTTTAAGTTTATTTATTTTGAGAGAGGGAGGAGGGAGGGAGGGAGGAACAGAGAGAGGGAGAGAGAATCCCAAACAGGCTTCGCACTGTCCGTGCAGAACCCGACACAGGGCTCCGACTCACGAACCATGAGATTATAACCTGAGTTGAAGTTGGACGCTAACCACCTGAGCCACCCAGGTGCCCTGACCGTTGCTGAAGTTCTTCAATAAACATCTTTTTATACTGAAGAACGGAAATACCTGTATGAATGTCTGCGTAAGAGTGTGGTTTAAAAAGTGATCTCTGGGTGGTCACTCAACATCGAGCAAGAGCCACTACCAGCCCCCGGGAACTCCTTACGCCCTGATCACGGGTACCCTAGTTAAGGGATATCTGTGTCATCCAAATAAAATTTCCGAGTGATGGCAGAAGTGACTTTTTTTTTTTTTTAACGTTTTATTCATTTTTGAGACAGAGACAGAGCATGAACGGGGGAGGGGCAGAGAGAGAGGGAGACACAGAATTGGAAGCAGGCTCCAGGCTCTGAGCCATCAGCCCAGAGCCCGACGCGGGGCTCGAACTCACGGACCGCGAGATCGTGACCTGAGCCGAAGTCGGCCGCCCAACTGACTGAGCCACCCAGGCGCCCCGGCAGAAGTGACTTTTAAAACAACATGGAGCCTTGGTACTGAAGGATCAAGTGGTTAAGGAACATGGTTAGCAGCGTCTGGTGAGAGAGCGAATGTTTCACTACATAGTGGTGACACTGGTTAGGACTCAGGTGTAGCTCATGTCACCAAGGTTGGTAACGTATGTCACCGAAATTGAGGAAGCATCACCTCCCAGTGATAAGGAGTCCGGATTCATAGCTCAAGTGATTGGTTTATCCTTTCATTCACACCCACGTATTTATTTATTTATTATTAAAAAAAAAAATTAGGGGCACCTGGGTGGCTCAGTCGGTTAAGTGGCTGACTTCGGCTCAGGTCATGATCTCACGGTCCGTGAGTTCGAGCCCCCATCAGGCTCTGTGCTGACAGCTCAGAACCTGCAGCCTGTTTCAGATTCTGTGTCTCCCTCTCTCTCTGCCCCTCCCTTGTTCATGCTCTGTCTCTCTCTGTCTCAAAAATAAATAAATGTTAAAAAAAATTTAAAAAAAAATTAATGTTTATTTCTGAGAGAGAGAGAGAGAGAGAGAGAGAGAGGGAGAGAACATGAGAGGGGGAGAGACAGAGAGAGAGGGAGACACAGAATCCGAAGCAGGCACCACACTCCAAGCCGTCAGCACAGAGCCCGACGTGGGGCTCGAACCCACAAACCCATGAGATCATGACCTGAGCCGAAGTCGGACGCTTCACCGACTGAGCCACCCAGGCGTCCCCACATCCACGTATTTATTTAAAACATGTAAGATACTCCATGTGTTGAATAAGCACATGTAGACAAAAACTCAGTTCAAAATTGCCCAGCCACTGTCATCTGGGGTGATACTCATGTTTTAAATCTCTTAACACTTCAGTGTGGTAAACATCACGAGTAGTTAATGACGGCAGTTCAGGAGAGTGCTGCCTCACTCCGGCTGGTATTCCGTTGCCTTCGGGAGGGGGGCTCATCCACTCAGACGGTCCATCCCGGCTACCCTGGGGGTAGCGCTTGTGAATTCACCCTGACTTTGGCCAGGTGATCCGAGGGATGGACCGTCTCACTGTCTTAGCAGACAGTGGTCACTCTAGCCTTTGCACACCTGGACGATTCACCTGGCAAAGTATTGAAGCGAGGCACAGAGGGACATTACCCCTCGGGTCGCATCCTTGGGACATTCAGCAAGTAACCGTAGGAGCAGTTAACCGTAGGGTAGATTTTGCTTTTCAGTATGGAGGGGGAGGATGGCCGCGCCTTACGGGACCGTCACTGCACCTTCCCCTTTCCCTCTTGGTGTTCTTCTGAGTCACCTGCTTTCATTGTTCAGCATTCAGTTTCCGCCCTGTTTTTTATGGGTTATCCTAGGCTCTGAAGCAGTCTGTATACTTCAGAACAAGATATTTGTAAACCCATTTCCTTTTGCCGTTTGTTTACGGAGGCAGGAAGGCCACAAAAATTATGGGGAAATTGAACAAACGTGAATAAAAGTTCTAGTAGAGAAAAAACAAAGGTGCTACAGTTCTTAGAAGTCGTAGCTTCAGTTTATGTAATTAATGTGGTAGAACCACAATTAAATGGACAGAAGAATTTTAGTACCTAATGTGTGGCTTTGGCCTTGTACAGCCATCCGGCACTGGGGGAGAAGCCTCACTGTAGAAATGTTCTTTTTGGCCACGAGCTCTCTCCCTCCAGCCTCCAACCGGAAGAGGTAGAACACTCATTTGCACTTGGATTTTCACAAAATGAAGATTTTGTAACATACTTGACTTGTCTTAGAGAGTTTCTCAACTCTCCTCTTAGCATAGAAATCATCTAGAGAAAATGTCTACAGAGCTCTTCAAAGAGCTTAGCCCTTAGCCCAAAGAGCCCTTAGACCTTTTGTGGTCATCCAGCTGGACAGCAGCTCTGAGGCCGGGAAGAAGACAAAAGCGCGTCATCGTTGATAATCCGTCCCCCCCCCCCTTTTGCTTCCTCCCCTCAAAAAAAGAAGGACATTAGCAGTCACCCAAACAATCGTGATTTTAAGTCTGCTTACTTTTGGTCTTTGGAAGTTTATTTCACCCAAATGACACATGTTTTGCAGCTGTTGGAATATGAGCTTAGGTTTTATTTTTGAGTTCACGTAATGATTTTTAAAATGTTCTAATATATGTCTTCAAAGACCCCCAGATCAATACGCCAATGGTTTTGAAATGACAGAATGCTGCGATATTCCTCTGTAATTTAAACATGATTAGCTGATGAAGGTTATGATCAATACACTGCGGGAAGATAAATTAATTGATATCATCCTTTCAGGATAGGAGGCCTCTTGGAGGTGGGGTGTAACTAATGAAGCTGCGGCTTCGTCTCCAAGAGCCATTTTTTATATCCTGCACTTTGACGTAATCATATTTACACGATCGTTCATTTCCACGAGAGCCATGAGCGGTGGGCAAACCAGTTCCTTATTAAAATTTTGTTCACTCGGAAAAGAAACTGTCTGTGGCCACTCCGTGTGCTCCTTCAGTGTTAGAACCCACCCCTAGGGACGAGGGCTGTGTTCCTTTGCACGGGTGGCTTTCAAAATAGCCACCCTCCGGCCCAAGACAAGGATTGAATACCATTGAACTTCATTACAGCCAGTCCCCAAAGACACCCATCTATTCAAACAAAGGCTATAGTTATTCTGTACTGACACCTATTGGTGTGGGAAGAGTTTTCTTATTGTTGACTTCCTTTCCAATTAAATCCGGCATGCTTTATCAGCGAGCCTATTTGCCAAGAGAGGCTATGGCTGGTTGAATTTAGATTTGTATTGATTAAGATAAACTCCCAATGTGTGAGGTGATGTATTTAAATAAAGTCTTTGATATAATTACATGTCCTCGGAAGTAATTCTGTGCAGTAGCTTATAAAGTTAAGAGTAATTCTTTAAGCTGTGCAAAAAAGACCCCACAAAACCCAGTTTTTTGATTCTCCAGGTGGGAGGGGGTTCATTACATGATCCTGTCTTACTTAGCATCACTTTTGCTGCAAGTAACTGGAAGAAATCACGTTAGAATAACTTGAACGGGACAGGTGCATATTTTTGTTGGTTTCGTTGTAACGAGGTGGTCTGGGCAGGGCTGTTGAGGCCTTTGGTGTAGCCAGGGGGCCAGCTTCTCTTGATATCACAGCTTCTGTCCCCAACGTGGCTGCAGGGGCTACAGCTCACACATGTGCATTTTAAGCAGCAAGAAGGGAAAAGATGTAAGGAAGAAATGGGCCAAGGGCAGCCCTCTGAGGGAAGACTCTTGGAAGCTGCCCCATGCCCCTCCATCCGTCACCCCACCGGCCAGCGCTGGCTGGGACGGCCGCCCTTAGTCAGGGGGCGGCAGGACAGAGTGGAGGAGGCTCTGGGAAATGTGCGGTCGCTGCTGCCAGCCGCGGCCCGGAACCAGGGGCCTGGCTGCTGCGCAGGAAGGGAGCGGCGGGCCACAGGGACAGCTTGCGGTCTCTGCCACATCCCCCGTATTTGGAAGCCGGCCTCACGCTGATCTCTTGTGTCTCCCATCCACTAGTTGCCCAGAAGATTGTGGCCACAAGGAAGAAGCAGCAGCTGTCCATAGGGCCCTGCAAGTCGCTGCCCAACTCCCCAAGCCACTCGTCTGTCTGTTCCGCACAGGTGTCCGCCGTGCACATAAGCCAG